CCACAACTGGTATGTACAGGGACGCCTTAATCCGCTTGACCATCACGACCGGACATAAGGAAGTGATAGCCGAGGCTATATGAACCACTTCCCCGCCGGCACTCGGATGGTAATCTTGGGCATAGCATTTTATCAAATCACCTCATTCTTTGGGGCACACGTGAGGAACACAAATGCAAACAAGCCTGAATGGTCCCCAGGACTATATACAACTGAAAACTCACTTTTCAGTTTTCAGTTGTATATAGTCCTGGGGACCATTCAGGCTTGTTTGCATTTGTGTTCCTCACGTGTGCCCCAAAGAATGAGGTGATTTGATAAAATGCTATGCCCAAGATAACCATCCGAGTGCCGGCGGGGAAGTGGTTCATATAGCCTCGGCTATCACTTCCTTATGTCCGGTCGTGATGGTCAAGCGGATTAAGGCGTCCCTGTACATACCAGTTGTGGGAGTATGGGTTCGAGTCACTTCTGGGGTGTGAGTTTTCAGTTGTATATAGTCCTGGGGACCATTCAGGCTTGTTTGCATTTGTGTTCCTCACGTGTGCCCCAAAGAATGAGGTGATTTGATAAAATGCTATGCCCAAGATTACCATCCGAGTGCCGGCGGGGAAGTGGTTCATATAGCCTCGGCTATCACTTCCTTATGTCCGGTCGTGATGGTCAAGCGGATTAAGGCGTCCCTGTACATACCAGTTGTGGGAGTATGGGTTCGAGTCACTTCTGGGGTGTGAGTTTTCAGTTGTATATAGTCCTGGGGACCATTCAGGCTTGTTTGCATTTGTGTTCCTCACGTGTGCCCCAAAGAATGAGGTGATTTGATAAAATGCTATGCCCAAGATTACCATCCGAGTGCCGGCGGGGAAGTGGTTCATATAGCCTCGGCTATCACTTCCTTATGTCCGGTCGTGATGGTCAAGCGGATTAAGGCGTCCCTGTACATACCAGTTGTGGGAGTATGGGTTCGAGTCACTTCTGGGGTGTGAGTTTTCAGTTGTATATAGTCCTGGGGACCATTCAGGCTTGTTTGCATTTGTGTTCCTCACGTGTGCCCCAAAGAATGAGGTGATTTGATAAAATGCTATGCCCAAGATTACCATCCGAGTGCCGGCGGGGAAGTGGTTCATATAGCCTCGGCTATCACTTCCTTATGTCCGGTCGTGATGGTCAAGCGGATTAAGGCGTCCCTGTACATACCAGTTGTGGGAGTATGGGTTCGAGTCACTTCTGGGGTGTGAGTTTTCAGTTGTATATAGTCCTGGGGACCATTCAGGCTTGTTTGCATTTGTGTTCCTCACGTGTGCCCCAAAGAATGAGGTGATTTGATAAAATGCTATGCCCAAGATTACCATCCGAGTGCCGGCGGGGAAGTGGTTCATATAGCCTCGGCTATCACTTCCTTATGTCCGGTCGTGATGGTCAAGCGGATTAAGGCGTCCCTGTACATACCAGTTGTGGGAGTATGGGTTCGAGTCACTTCTGGGGTGTGAGTTTTCAGTTGTATATAGTCCTGGGGACCATTCAGGCTTGTTTGCATTTGTGTTCCTCACGTGTGCCCCCAAGAATGAGGTGATTTGATAAAATGCTATGCCCAAGATTACCATCCGAGTGCCGGCGGGGAAGTGGTTCATATAGCCTCGGCTATCACTTCCTTATGTCCGGTCGTAATGGTCAAGCGGATTAAGGCGTCCCTGTACATACCAGTTGTGGGAGTATGGGTTCGAGTCACTTCTGGGGTGAGTTTTCAGTTATATATATATATATATATATATATATATATATATATATATATATATATATATATATATATATATATATATATATAACTGAAAACTCACACCCCAGAAGTGACTCGAACCCATACTGTCAAGCGGATTAAGGCGTCCCTGTACATACCAGTTGCGTTGCTCCTGGCAGTATGGGTTCGAGTCACTTCTGGGGTGTGAGTTTTCAGTTGTATATAGTCCTGGGGACCATTCAGGCTTGTTTGCATTTGTGTTCCTCACGTGTGCCCCAAAGAATGAGGTGATTTGATAAAATGCTATGCCCAACATTACCAAGCCTGAACAAGCCTGAATATTACCGGACATAATGAGGTGATAGCCGAGGCTATTTGAACCACCCCACCGCCGGCACTCGGATAGTAATCTTGGGCATAGCATTTTACCAAATCACCTCATTCTTTGGGGCACACGTGAGGAACACAAATGCGAACAAGCCTGAATGGTCCCCAGGACAGTTGCAGTTGCATATTGAGTTTTCAGTTGCATATTGTCCTGGGGACCATTCAGGCTTGTTCGCATTTGTGTTCCTCACGTGTGCCCCAAAGAATGAGGTGATTTGGTAAAATGCTATGCCCAAGATTACTATCCGAGTGCCGGCGGTGGGGTGGTTCAAATAGCCTCGGCTATCACCTCATTATGTCCGGTCGTGATGGTCAAGTGGATTAAGGCGTCTTGTACATACCAGTTGCGTGGCATCTGGGAGTATGGGTTCGAGTCACTTCTGGGGTGTGAGTTTTCAGTTGCATATTGTCCTGGGGACCATTCAGGCTTGTTCGCATTTGTGTTCCTCACGTGTGCCCCAAAGAATGAGGTGATTTGGTAAAATGCTATGCCCAAGATTACTATCCGAGTGCCGGCGGTGGGGTGGTTCAAATAGCCTCGGCTATCACCTCATTATGTCCGGTCGTGATGGTCAAGTGGATTAAGGCGTCTTGTACATACCAGTTGCGTGGCATCTGGGAGTATGGGTTCGAGTCACTTCTGGGGTGTGAGTTTTCAGTTATATATATATATATATATGCTATAAAATGCTATGCCCAAGATTACCATCCGAGTGCCGGCGGGGAAGTGGTTCATATAGCCTCGGCTATCACTTCCTTATGTCCGGTCGTGATGGTCAAGCGGATTAAGGCGTCCCTGTACATACCAGTTGTGGGAGTATGGGTTCGAGTCACTTCTGGGGTGTGAGTTTTCAGTTGTATATAGTCCTGGGGACCATTCAGGCTTGTTTGCATTTGTGTTCCTCACGTGTGCCCCAAAGAATGAGGTGATTTGATAAAATGCTATGCCCAAGATTACCATCGTGTGCCCCAAAGAATGAGGTGATTTGGTAAAATGCTATGCCCAAGATTACTATCCGAGTGCCGGCGGTGGGGTGGTTCAAATAGCCTCGGCTATCACCTCATTATGTCCGGTCGTGATGGTCAAGTGGATTAAGGCGTCTTGTACATACCAGTTGCGTGGCATCTGGGAGTATGGGTTCGAGTCACTTCTGGGGTGTGAGTTTTCAGTTATATATATATATATATGCTATAAAATGCTATGCCCAAGATTACCATCCGAGTGCCGGCGGGGAAGTGGTTCATATAGCCTCGGCTATCACTTCCTTATGTCCGGTCGTGATGGTCAAGCGGATTAAGGCGTCCCTGTACATACCAGTTGTGGGAGTATGGGTTCGAGTCACTTCTGGGGTGTGAGTTTTCAGTTGTATATAGTCCTGGGGACCATTCAGGCTTGTTTGCATTTGTGTTCCTCACGTGTGCCCCAAAGAATGAGGTGATTTGATAAATGCTATGCCCAAGATTACCATGGTCAAGCAAGTCATATATATATATATATATATATATATATGACTGAAAACTCACACCCCAGAAGTGACTCGAACCCATACTCCCAGGAGCAACGCAACTGGTAACTACAGGGCGCCTTAATCCGCTTGACCATCACGGCCGGACAAAAGGAAGTGATAGCCGAAGCTATTTGAACCACTTCCCCGCCGGCAACTCGGATGGTAATTTTGGGCATAGCATTTCACCAAATCACCTCATTCTTTGGGGCACACGTGAGGAACACAAATGCGAACAAGCCTGAATGGTCCCCAGGACTATATGCGACTGAAAACTCACATCCCAGAAGTGACTCGAACCCATACTCCCAGGAGCAACGCAACTGGTAACTACAGGGCACCTTAATCCGCTTGACCATCCGCTTGACCATCCGCTTGATGTATAAAGTTTATGTGGAAGCTGATCAGAATTACATTTCACCTTTGTAAATGCACATTAATGATACTGTGTAAAAGACACATCGAGCACTTTATGTAGGGCATATGTGAATCTATATAAATAGAATATGCATTTGGATCTATGTATTTACATAATGCTTAGCAAAAATGCTAAGCATTAGCTTAGCATTTTTAAAGCACTATACAATCACCTTCTGTGGTTAATTGTTCAATAAATCTCTGAACTATATGTTTAAAAAATTTCTCACCCTGTCCATGGAGGACAGAAGAAAATGTATATATGCTGGTTAGCATTGTAAATGTCCGGCCACGTCTGTGGTAGAAAATAATATAAAAAAAAAACTCTTTCTTAACTCTCTCTCTCCCAAGCTGTCTAGGAACATAGTTTACCGACTTATAGTTATGTTGGGTTAAATTTGATCAAATTTCTATGTTAGTTTTGATTCCAATAACATCAAATTGAAATCATGTATAATACAATGAAAACTGTTCATTTCTTAAAAAAAAAAATTAGGATATTATTAAAAAATTATTATTTCGCGAATATTTGGCTTGTTAGGCCCAATTTGGCTTGCTTGACCCCACTGTATGTGTTGTGAGTGAAGAAGTTGTGGAAGCCACCACCATCCTCAACTTTTGGGACAATTAAACAAAGATTTTAAATCATAATATTAAATCTTGTTGTTTATCAAACAAGACCAAAAGTAGATGAACACAACTAAAAAGGTAAGGAATTACGAAAGGAGAAGATATAAATGAAAACATAATTTATTACAATTTATTTTTTTATAAAACTGTAATTTATTAACTAATGAAAAATTAAGCCTTCATTGTACAGCCTTTTTTATACGATGTTCCTCACAGTGTTGAAGTGTGATGACTTCTCGACAAGGAATCCAATAGCACTTCTTCGGATGATGCTCCTAGCCATGCTGAAGTTTTTCTACGAATCCAATTGTTCATTTTGGATTCTAGATAAGAACGCAGTTCTTATTTAGACGTTGGCTTTGTTTCATGACCTTGTGAGGAGTGCCCATCTGTGTACCAGGAGTCCCACAGCGCTGAGCAGGGTGTTGATTTCCATCCATATTGCGTTGAAGGTCGACACCATCCTGTAGCTCTGATGAAGAGTTTTTGTTCATGTTCTCCTGTAGACGACGCAGAAGATCAGGGAGTGAGGGACGACACTGAGGGTTGGGGTGCATAGCTTCCTCTATTACCTCTCCTATTGATGGGTTTGTCAATGGGAGAGTCATAGTCGTGGGCGACGCGTTCAGGATCTGCAACATCAGTACACCGTAGGAGAAAACATCAGACGCAAAGCTACTACATCCTCGCTCAATCATTTCGGGGGCGTGTATCGTGCTAACATTTGGATCCCCAAACAGCAAGACGCTTTCATCTGTCTTGCAGGCCATTCCAAAATCAATTATACTGATTTCTGGATTATGAGGCGGGCCTTGGACCATAATATTACTACCCTTAATATCGTTATGTACGATACCCGCCTTGTGGATTTCAAGTAATTTTCTCCCAACCTGTAATCCGAGGTCGATTAAGTTGTATTCTGGGTCGTTAAACAAATTCTGAAGTGTCTGACTACCCTTGTAGGTGATCAGGAGAGCGAAAGGATTAACTGCCACACCCAGCAGCAAGGGCGCGCCACCTGCACCCTTCAGTAACGCCAAAATGTCGGCTTCCCTGCTGAAAGATTTGGAAAACAAAGAAGACCTCGATATTTTAAGAGCTACAGGCTCTCTCCGCCACTCCACTAAAGCAACTACTCCATACGCCCCAGAGCCGATGAATTTTCTCCTGTGTCTTAGCAAGCGACTAGCGACTTCTCCGTTAAACTGCTCCATAATGTATTAAACGACAGAAAAAAGCACTGAACACCTCTCAATATTCTTAATGCCGTTAATATTAATCAATTCTATTTCCTAGGTGTAATCAGAAGGAATTTCTGAAGATATTTCTAGCTCTAGGATGGATCTGAAATGGTCAATTATAAAATAACGTTATGAAAGAGTGATGGAAATTTTCTTAGTCTCGACACCTCCAGAGGTGGCACGGGCATGAATAGCCTCTAAGTGGTAGAGAAACGCTCCGGATTGATTGTCTTTCACTCTATGCTGGACTGATTGATCTAGAAACTCAGTTTATAATGACAGGAAGTGAGGAGTCGGGTGAACTATAAGGACTAAGAAAACTTCAGGATTCCTATGGAGGAGCTGTCGAAAGTGTTGATATGGTCTATCTTCCCCTTTGTTTTTAATGGTCCATTTCAGGTCCATTTTCTCTAAAATCTTGACCACATTATCCATCCATGAGCATGTTCTATACTGTAAGTTTTTCTGAAAGGATCTTTGTATGCTGTCTTTGATTGACAGTCTGGCGGTTGTTTCAGTAAGTTTTCCTATTATGGTGGATCCTTTGTTTCATTCTGTTTTCTAATGCTGGTAAATTTGTTTCCATTCTAAGGTTCTCTCTACGCGTCCATAATAGGAAAACTTACTGGAACAACCGCCACACTGTCAATCAAAGACAGCATACAGAAATCCCTTCAGAAAAACCTACAGTATAGAACAAGCTCATGGATGGATAATGTAGTCAAGATTTTAGAGAAAATGGACCTGAAATGGACCATTAAAAACAAAGGGGAAGATAGACCATATCAACACCTTCGACAGCCTTCTCCATGGGAAGAATCGAATCTAAAGATAATCATTGAAAGATTACCAGTTAAAAAATCAGCATGTGACCCACAGAGGCTCAAGGAAGTAATAGAACAACAAATGAAAACTATCTCTAGACCTACAACGACTCACATCTTCACAGATGGATCAGTTGATCAAGAAAAAGGTTCTGCTGGGGCAGCAGTTTACACTACCTACCATGAAGCTTACTGGAGCATGAATAGTGGGTGCTCAACATTGCAAATAGAATTATATGCCCTGAAGGAGGCAATAAACTATACAATTGAGAATAATTTACATGATGTCATCATTCATACAGACTCTAAATCTTCGCTCCAGGCATTGTTATCCAGTCAGCACACAGATAATGTACAACTCACAGAAATTCAACATATAGGAAAAGAAGCCCATAATCGAGGGCTGTCAATCACCCTAAATTGGATACCAAGTCACATTGGCATAGATGGTAATGAAAAGGCAGACTCACTAGCAAAAACTGCCACTGCTCTACCTGTTGTACAGGTTCAAATACCTCCAAGTTTCTCTCAGATAAAGGAGCAAATCAAGAAGAAAATATTCTCAACTATCAAAAGTCGCCACAGAGCCAAATTAGTGGAAGGAAGATCCACTGCGATATAATACGAACAAGCCACTAGTTACTCCTCTTTCAAGCCTGGCAAAAGGATATCCGGAGACATTTCAGTAACCATACACAGACTCAGACTTGGTTACAAGTGCTGCTGGGAGGTAATGAACCCAATAGTTAAAGAATGTCACATCTGTGAAACTGAAGCAGAGGCGCCACTATTGCACTACTTACTAGAATGTGAAGCTACTGAACCCCTGCGCATCAAACTCAACAGTAATCCAACGACAGCAGCTGCATTAGATGCACATTCCACCGCGACTACAATGATTAGAAAAGCTGTTGAGGAATGGGACTCATTAGTGAGCATTCTGCATCTACATCCTCCACCAAGATAATGTTAATAAAACAAGATTAAAACTAGTGCACTAAAACAGAAGCGATAAATAAGCAGGGAAAAAGGAGAAATCCTCTCCTCCATTTTAAACTTAGACCCAAATATCACAGGAAAAAGGTTATCATGTATAACCAAACTCAATTACGGGCTCACCATAGCCCGTGCTACACTTCGTCCTGAGTAGCTAAATCTGAAACAACAACAACAACATCCGGATTCCTCTTGACCCATAAGAATCAATGAAATTGTAGAAGGCCTAAATTCCACCAAATTAAAAATCTTTCATATGAAGAAAGATTAACAAAGCTTAAATTGCAATATTAATAAATTGCAAGGTCAAATAACGGATAATGACAAGGAGATGAGTAGTATTTTTAACAAATATTTTATATCTGTATTTACTAAAGAAGAACTTAACAATATGCCTTCAGCCGAACAAGTCTATGTGGGTGGGGATGAGGACAGGTTGACTAGTTTAGCAGTTACCAGGGAGGATGTAATTAAACAATTAGAAAAACTAAAACCAAACAAATCCCCAGGGCCGGATGAAGTGTTTGCCAGGGTGCTTAAAGAATGCAAAGAGGAGCTTTCCGAGCCACTGTCTACCATATTTAATAAATCAATAGAGTCAGGCAGAGTGCCAGAGTCATGGAAGGTAGCTAATGTGGTACCAATTTTTAAGAAAGGAGATAGATCACTTGCGTCAAACTATCGGCCAATTAGCCTAACGTCTATTGTGGGAAAGTTACTTGAATCAATAATTGCAAATACAATTCGTCTTCATCTTGAAAAACATAAATTAATAAATGAGTCGCAACATGGTTTTACAAATGGCCGTTCATGTTTAACAAATTTGCTAACATTTTATACCAGCATAGTTGAGGCATATTCCAGCAGTTGATAGCGGTAAGGATTGTGATGTTGTGTACCTTGACTTTAGCAAAGCTTTTGATACAGTGCCACATGAAAGACTGATTAAAAAAATGGGAGCTCATGGTATTGGGGGTGCTATATTAAGTTGGATTAGGGCATGGCTATTCCAACGGAAACAGAGAGTTAGTATAAATGGGGTTAAGTCAGAGTGGGATAATGTTGTTAGTGGAGTACCTCAGGGCTCTGTCCTGGGACCTCTGTTGTTTATAATATATATAAATGATTTAGATTCAGGTCTGAGTAGCAAAATCTGCAAATTTGCAGATGATACAAAAATCGGTAGGAAAATTAACACGAAAGAAGACTCGCTATCACTTCAAGTTGATCTAAATAGGGTTTTAAAATGGTCAAAAGACTGGCAGATGCAGTTTAATGCTAATAAAAGTAAAGTTTTGAGGCTAGGTAAGGATGATAGAGTTACAAGATACGAGCTAGATGGTGTTGAGATTGCGAAAGGGAACTGGGAGTTATGATTAGTAAGAATTTAAAACAAAAGGATCAATGCATGAATGTTCGTAATAAGGCGAATAGGACACTGGGATTTATAACCATATTTAATAAATCAATAGAGTCAACCATATTTAATAAATCAATAGAGTCAGGCAGAGTGCCAGAGTTTTGGAAAGTTGCTAATGTGATACCAGTTTTTAAGAAAGGAGATAGATCACTTGCGTCTAACTATCGACCAATTAGCCTAACGTCTATTGTGGGAAAGTTACTCGAATCTATAATAGCAAATAAAATTCGTCTTCATCTTGAAAAACATAAATTAATAATTGAGTCGCAACATGGTTTTATAAATGGCCGTTCATGTTTAACAAATTTGTTATCTTTTTATTCTAGCATTGTTGAGGCAGTTGATAGTGGTAAGGATTGCGATGTTGTATACCTTGACTTTAGCAAAGCTTTTGATACTGTGCCACATGAAAGACTGATTAAAAAAATAGAGTCTCATGGTATTGGGGGTGCTATATTAAGCTGGATTAGGGCATGGCTATACCAAAGGAAACAGAGAGTTAGTATAAATGGAATCATAAGAACATAAGAACATAAGAACAAAGGTAACTGCAGAAGGCCTATTGGCCCATACGAGGCAGCTCCTATTCTATAACCACCCAATCCCACTTATATACTTGTCCAACCCGTGCTTGAAACAATCGAGGGACCCCACCTCCACAATGTTACGCGGCAATTGGTTCCACAAATCAACAACCCTGTTACTGAACCAGTATTTACCCAAATCTTTCCTAAATCTAAACTTATCCAATTTATATCCATTGTTTCGTGTTCTGTCCTGTGTTGATACTTTTAATACCCTATTAATATCCCCCCGGTTATGTCCATTCATCCACTTGTAAACCTCTATCATGTCACCCCTAACTCTTCGCCTTTCCAGTGAATGCAACTTAAGCTTTGTTAATCTTTCTTCATATGAAAGATTTCTAATTTGGGGAATTAACTTAGTCATCCTACGCTGGACACGTTCAAGTGAATTTATATCCATTCTATAATATGGCGACCAAAACTGAACTGCATAATCTAAATGGGGCCTAACTAGAGCAAGATATAGCTTGAGAACCACACCAGGTGTCTTGTTACTAACGCTGCGATTAATAAATCCAAGTGTCCGATTTGCCTTATTACGAACATTTATGCATTGATCCTTTTGTTTTAAATTCTTACTAATCATAACTCCCAGATCCCTTTCGCAATCCGACTTCGCAATCACAACACCATCTAGCTCGTATCTTGTAACTCTATCATCATTACCTAACCTCAGAACTTTACATTTATCAGCATTAAACTGCATCTGCCAATCCTTTGACCATTTCAAAACCCTATCTAGATCAACTTGAAGTGATAGTGAGTCCTCCTCCGAATTAATTTCCCTACCGATTTTCGTATCATCGGCAAATTTGCAAATGTTGCTACTCAAACCTGAATCTAAATCATTTATATATATTATAAACAACAGAGGTCCCAGGACAGAGCCTTGAGGCACTCCACTTACAACATTTTCCCACTCTGACTTGATTCCATTTATACTAACTCTCTGTTTCCTTTGGTATAGCCATGCCCTAATCCAGCTTAATATAGCACCCCCAATACCATGAGACTCTATTTTTTTAATCAGTCTTTCATGTGGCACTGTATCAAAAGCTTTGCTAAAGTCAAGGTATACAACATCGCAATCCTTACCACTATCAACTGCCTCAACAATGCTAGAATAAAAAGATAACAAATTTGTTA